TGCACCCAGATGCAGTTTTGAACCACAATGATTTATTGGCTTCAATCGAAGTCTGCCCACTGTATTTGATTCTATCAAGTTTCAAAACTGGCATTGAATGTCCAATCAGATTTGTCATTTTTACCTTGATCAAGGAGCTTATGTTTTCACCCGTGTCTGTTTATTTGTCAGCAGGATTACTCAAAAAAGTACTGAACCGATTTGCACCAAACTTTTTTTCTGGTGTATGTTGTTTGACATTTACCTTGGTGACTCTTTCAGTGCCCTTTTAGTCTTTACCTATTCATTGATCAGATATGCACTCATTTAATTCATAATTTTCAGTTCAAAACTATATCATTTAGGCAAAGTTAAGCTTGTGTTTAGATTTTCTTGATGAAGATAAACTCACATCCAAATGTCTTAGATGCAGTTGTGTTGGACTGTGGCACTTAATTCTTTAATCATCCAAATATCGAGACCGAAATGTGAGAATGATCAATAAATCATTAGCAAGAGTAGTGTGCGGGATGTTCTTCTTTTCAATGCTTGTGTCTGTATAGAACTTTAAACAAAACATTGTTTTGGTATCACTACTGGAACGCAGGTATTGCATCAGCTCTAGTCTTGAAATGAAAATGACATCCAGACCTCACAAAGTGCGACTTCTGGAGGGCGAAGTAGCTGAAGATTACAGAGATCCATGAAGACAAAAGCAGCCGCACATTGGTCAATAAAACCTGATCTCCTTCATTTTCCAAAACACTAAGATAACAGCAGAGCTAAATCTTCATAATGTTGCAACAGACAGTACAGAATTGGTAACATGAGTAGGTGTCACACAGGCTGCTATAGAGATCTATCATCTGACCAAGGACCTCTGTAGATAAACTCATCAGATTGGAGTGAATCAGCAGACGCTGAAGCTGGTGGATAGCTTTGGAGCAAACTGGTCCTTTGAGCTGTAACCAGAGCAGGTGTGACAGGGGTGGCTTTGGATGGGTGTCTGTCATGCCATGAAGAGGATCAGTGTCATTTATGGTGGCCCAGTAAAAGCCCTGGCCAGTAGCTGACCTTCCTTTCACTCGATGTTGGACAGTCCAGAACAGAAAAACCCAACACCCCAACAGCACTCCAGGGAGGTTTTGGTAGTGCTGAGTGGCAGAGTTGACCTCTGCAGTGTTATCATCTGTAGCGCTTCCTGTCCAGGTCCAGATGGAGGTAGCATGAATGCAGAACCATTCCACCCAGTAAACCTTGTGAATGATTTGGAGCATGACATGTTTTTCTCCTCGTTTCTTTTCCTGATGAGGATCTTGTTGCCTTTTGGCCAATTGCTCTGATCTTTCCACCGTCCAATCCACTCTTGGGAGGAAGGAAGAGGCAAAAGATTTAACAGTAAAACCAATATAAAGTTCTAAACTCAAAGCAGACTTGGTGGTAGGGCCTTAGAAGTGACAGGTCTTGGAGTGTTTTTCACTGTCAGTCATTCACCTCCTGACACTGTTATTTCTCTCACTAACTTCATCAACATCCAGCTGGGAGTGAGACGGCTCCGCCCGTGCTTACCCCAGCTGGACGGACAGGTTTGTTTTTGAAAAGAGAAGAAGAAAAACAGTCTTCTACACCTCTCTGTTTCCATCCTTCTTTCCATCCTTCCACCTATCAATCCATCACCCTGAGCTATTTTCTCTTTAAATACTAATTCGACCTCAGGTTTCACACACTGAACAAGACTAAGCAGACACAGACAGCGTCTCGTGACATACATGCATTCAGGTCTTTGTTCAGAGAGGTGCTTCAGGCTATGTCCCAGCTGGGTTTTCAGGTTGAATACTCCTGCAGTAGTGCAAATTCCCATTAGATGGCGGCAGAGCTTTGTGAACAGGTCAAACTACACAGGGGTAGAAGGAGGAACATCTCATGGCAATTAAGCGTATCCCATCTCTTGTCCACATGGCAAAGTGTCCCTTTACTCCCTCCAGGACCATCTGATATTGTGTGATCTGAACAGGCACAGTTAGAGGATTCTGACAGTGGGGAATGTTTCTTAAAGTCTGTCTGTTATGATCCTTTTGGGCCATGTTAAAAGTCCCAGGTGTTCCCGGCTCTGCAACATGCTTCCTGGCCCTCAGAAACCTCCCTAAATGGAAAGATGGATCCTTCCACAGATTGGGGAATATGTGGTCATTCCCCTTTGAACACAACAAAAGGCGAAAGACTGATATTACAGTGCGGCATACCTTAAGAGTATTCATGCCCCTCCTTCATTCCTGCTTCCCTTGTCTTCCCTCAAGTCTGTCATTCCAATCACAAAGCCTTATGACAAAACCGTGCCATAGACCTCTCTCACTGAAACACTGAACTGATTTAGCATGGGTCAGTTGTCTTGGCATGAACTCAGTGGCTGTTACGTTCGGTCCCCTGTTCAAACCGTCCTGCTGGAGAGATTTTGTGGTCATGGCTCGAGGCGCCGCTGCCCTTCTCTGCTGGTCCTCTTAACCTATTTTATTGAAGTACACAAAGGGTTGAACAGCTACGAACTCCGATTTCACCAGGTTTTTCGTTTGTACTTTATGATCATGAAAAGCTCAGGCAAACGACTGACAAATCTGGCCTACAAATTGTTGCTGGCGTGACATAGTAGCAAGCGATTTGGAATTCGTCTCCCAGATCACTTCTCGTTGGAAAATCGATCCGTACTTAAGTGCTGTTTGATGAATGCACCATATTTTGTACATCTCAATCCAGAGGAGAAATATTCTTTTTCTGATACGCTCTCAGTGGCTTGCTTACCTGCTCACTCAGGCATCTTCTGGACTGTCTAGATGTTTTTTCCACAAGGCTCCACCTGGGGTCTGCTGGGCCCTGAGGTGAGTTCACATCACAGTATGTCAGACAGGCGTGGTAACATTTTGCTACGTGGGCTGCCGCCTTGACTGATTTGAGATTCAACCTGTGTGTGCCTGTGTGTGTGTGTGTGTGTGTGTGTGTGTGTGTGTGTGTACACATGCAGGGCAAAACGCCAGGATATAGTCAGTCGTGCAGCTGTCAATGTGGGGGCTGAGTGAGCGATTCTTTACTGAAAACACATTTGTAATGATTTTCTGATCCGCTATTTCCTCACTGAGATGGATGAGATGTCATTTCAGACTTGAAGTGTGTGTGGCTGACACCAACTCACCATTGAAGGGGGTCCCAATGAGCTGGAAGAGCACAGGTGTCTTGGCTCTCCCCGTCTCCGGCCAAGCGGTTCTGCGTCAGAATAACCATAATGCAACGTGACTCATTGTCTGCCCTGAGCCAGATTTTTACAACGCTTATCAACATTGGAGACACTGAATGTATCTTACGTCTCTGCTGCTGTTTAGTTGAAGAATTTTCTTCCAGTGAAGTGAACTGTTAACAGGACCCACAAGACCCTACAGTTTAGGTAACTGAGTTTGATTGGACCACGACTCATGGGGGCTGACATATAATGGATCATTAAGATGCATGCTGAAAAGGTCTTAAAGACTCATACCTAATTGTTTTCCATTCTCGTTTTTTTAGATAAAGCCTTCACTCTGGCAGGACTTAGCTGGACTCAGGGACCTGTTGAGGTTTCTACTGGCCTTTTTTAAAGTGCCTGCGATAAATGTAGTATACATTGGGAAGAGGTTCAATAAATTTTGACGGAGTCACGGCCAGGGAAGGGCAGATTACCTGGGGTCGAGGGCATCCCCCAAGACCCCTCAACTACTAATTTTTCAGTTTACATGATTTCAGTTTACTTTTTGCAGCACCTTGTTGACAGCAGCTGTCACAAAGATACACAAAGATACATTCATGACTGACAAATTCTTGCGTAGTTTGGAAGCCACATTACATCAGATACTCTCAAGTTATGAGTTTTTTTCTATACTATGTGTAAGTCTCTTCAGTCTTACTGAATAGACTGCAAGTCAAGGTGTCTGGACGGTGAAATTAAATTGACACTGCATTTAGCTTTCAAAGCTGGTAATATTGTATTTTTTACACAGCTACGATCAAGTCCTTTCAGTGCATAATAAGTTTAAAGACCCCCAGGTTCAGACAGCCTGGGTTTCATCACATCACAAACCTAAGGAACCAATCCTGTCAGCTTGCAAGGTTGGTGGGCAAGGCTAAATAAACCTGAAACCTTGTCAGTACAGAGAGCGAGAGTTTGCAACTCTCAGAAACTTTCATTGTACGTTCTGCCCAATTATGTCTTATCTTTTCAGGGTTTTTCTAAACTGAAGTCAGGTCTATAGTGAGCTAAGTCTCAGGCACTCATTTTTGTGACTTAAGTCTGACTCCAGTTCAAGTCTCTACTCTGCACTGACAATGTACAAATTAATGCATTGTAAATGTTTTTTCTGTGTTGTCTTTCAGGAGTTTATTGTACCCTACCGTGTGTCCGCACATGTTCATCTGCTGCAGGGGGAGATTTCAATGAGCCACAGACTTTTTATTTGTGTTCTACATCCCCCTTTCTTCCTGTTCCTGCTCTATCTAGCTTTCCAGTTGAGCGCCGTTATTTACGAAGCGATGCTTTTCCACGCCTGTTTGATATTTCACAGGTCTGTTGCATTCGGTTGCTTACTTTCCCCTAAGTGGATAAAGTTTCCCTTGTTTCCGCTGGATGCTGAAGAAAGTGCGGGATGGATGTGTGTGTGTGTCTGAGTGTATATGTATTTTGGCTCATGTACAAAGCAGGATGTTCAGCAGCTTAGGAAAAAAGTGTTGGGTTGTAAACACCCAGAGTCAACTGTGAATGTAGTGTCAACACACACACACTCACTCAGTGAGTCATTCACTGTCAGTCGTTGGCTCACCTACACTCAAATCCATATATTTGCCACTATGGTAGATATTCATATCCATGGCTACCGGTAGCTACAATATCCCATAACACACACTCAAACATAGACACACTGCACAGTAGCTGACTGACACGCACGTGCATGTGGCCATTCTGCCATTTGACAAGTGGGCTCTAAAATCTTGTTCTCTTGCAGGGCTCCATGGCATAAAGCCTGTCCTCAGATTCAGCTGGTCCCTGGGGAAAGCTGCCGAGAAGCCCACCACTCTGACGTCCTGCTGTCATTTTCCACAGCCTGAGGGGAATCAGGAAGCAGCCGGCAGGAGCCATGCCTGCCCTGGCCACCGGAGCCGGCCACGAGCCAGGTACGTACCACTCAGCCAGGAACACAATCTGTAGTGCAAGGTTTTCTGCACATCACGCAAAACCAGTAAAATGCATAAGGTAATATTGCAAGTATACTGCTCCTGTAATTCACATTTTTACGTCCTACATCAGTGCACAAACAGAAGAAGAATTAATACAAGCACCAAGCGTAATCCCAGCCTTAAAATGAATATATCTTCTTCAGTTAGATGTCAGTATGGCCTGGTAATGTGCCCACAACTTTAAGTGGTACCTTGATTTAATATCCAATTAGAAAATGAATTACTCTTAACTTGCCTGAGGCTGTTTTTGTTTGACTGTTTTTGTAGCCTTTCTAAAACTGTGGTTGGAAAATAAACCAAAGTACATTTTCACTTCATTTTGTGCCCAGCAAAATGAAAAACACACTGTTGCAAATTTACAGTTTAAGAACACAGAGCAAAAATAATGTCAAGGTATGAAAAGTGTGCTCCATCTCTTCTTCTTTTTCTGTCCTCTGTTGAGAGGAGCGTGTGTGGATGAGTGTGTGATGTCAGACTGAGGAACACGTCAAGCTTGTCAACGCCGAGACAGCTGCCAGAAATCACCACCTCTCCCCTCAGGAACACTATCCTCCTCTCAGTCTGGCTTAATGGCCGGCTACATCATCACATGCACACATATGCACACAGATGCGCACATATGCACATACATGCACACACATGCAAAGGACTCAACCCAGCGAGCACAAAAGGACAAAAGGAGGACAGACGTTAAGTCCTGCCCTGATGGATAAAGAGTGTGTGCGTTACTCCGTCCAGACTTTTAACAGAGTTACTGTAGCCCCCGTCGTCCTGGAAATTTGCACAGACAAAGTAGAAAGCCAGACCGTCAATTACGATTAGAGTCATTTTGGGCAATTACCGGCAAGGGCTCAGGTTTCCAAATAAAACACGTCAAGACTCCTCTGGCTCATCTCCTCTGCTTCCCCCTTGATGGTCCTGTGAAGTTGTGTGTGCAGGTGAAACATGATGAACATTATGGATGAGCGTTAGGTCACTGGTCTCCAGGCCCGGTGACCTCACAAATACCTGTGGCTGGCCTGGCATCGGGACTCCCCGGCACTGTACCAACGTTGACACAGAACACTGGTAGTATTACAATAATGCTGTTGATTTAAGAGATAAAATTCTGTCAGGATGATGGAAAATATGTCGCATTCGTGTTGTCCCTTAAAACACTAGCCTTTCAGTTCCATCTGTTCTTTGTCAGATCAGGGAGATTAAACATCATGTTTATCTAATTATCTGTATTGGAAATAATATTACCTGACCAGTAAAATCCTCTCAGGTGTAGACTTAAAAAAACAGTAGAGGAAAAGTGAAGAGAATATGATTGGTGAGGGCATCAGAGTGTTGGTTTAAATGAAAATTTGGAAATTTATGACTTGATCCCAAATCCTCCTCCAATTAATATCACTTATCATATCTGCTATTTATTCAATATTAAGATTTTTTTATTTAAGTAAGCAGTCATTTGTTGACCAACACATATGAATGTTTCTAGTCTTATCGACCACTCAAAGCGCTTTACACTACAAGCCACATTCACCCATTCACCCACACATTCATTGAGCCCATCTGCTAAGCGGACTGTGCTTTTCTTTTTTTTAATTAATAATAATTGCAATAATAATAATGATAGTTTTTTTTCACAATGAACAAAAAATAGAGTGAAATATAATAGAAGGAAACTATAATGAATATAACGACAACCACACACACAAAAAAACAAAAGATAAGGATAACATACTGAGATAGGGACAAGACAAAAAAAAAAAGGCCAACATGTCTGTGATGTATAGAATGCTTGAAAGTTTACAACAATGCCTGTCAACCGGTATTCCAACCAAATGTACTTCATCTAATAGTTTACTGTTAGTTGTATGAGCTGGAAACGGCATTAAACACTCGATATATAAGAACGGTACCGCCCCCATTTCATCTGATAGTCCTCCACCTTATCAAGCAGCTGAAATGATCATAGTTCAGAGCAGCCAGGTGACCAAGAGAATCACACACACACTGATGATAGGACAGGGCCATTCAGGGTTCAGTATCTTGCCCAAAGGCACTTTGATATGCCGACTGGAGGAGCCAGGAGTTAAACCAACGACTTTCCAATTAGTGGATGATTCTCCAGTTTAATAAGATCTTTTTCTCAGCAGTGGAATGGCTGGGCCTTCAGTTTTTCTTTTTTGGATAATTCCTGTGCAGCCCTACACGCCAGCAAGCAAACAGCTGAGGACAAAGTGAGAGATTTAAATTCATAATTATTGATTTTGAGTTAATGATTTCTGCCCTGAAGGACTTGACTAGTTGCCACAAAAATAAAAAATATTACCAGATGTAATTGTGTTTGTAAACCAGAAAACTCAGACATATTACATGTGTCTTGCCTGTCAATTTGTGCCTCATGTACAGTAAAGAAAAAAATGTCTGGCACAGTTAGTTATAAGAATGAGGCAAATATTTGTAAAAGAATATTAAACATATGGATTTATTGAGGTGGCATCAAGCCATTAGTGCGTCTGTTGATTTATAGTGGTGTAAGATTTAGTGTGTTGATTTTCAAACCAGCATTACGATATTGTGTACTATCAGGCAGTGTTGTGAATTTATTAGATAACTGGAAGACTTGCACATCAGCTCCAGCAGGACTCTCTACGTGGTTCTGGAGCTTTGGCGTGTAGGTAGCAACACCTCCACTGACAAGAAGCATAAATCCACAGAGGCCAACAATACCTCGTCCACGTGCAGAGGCTGCCAATAATTACAGAGACGTTGCTGCATCGTGCCAGAACCTTAGCTTCTTTTCTTTAGAAGTTCTGCCATCTGCAGACCCCTCAACACCAGCCTACACACTATACACACACACACACACACACACACACACACACACACACACACACACACACACACACACAGAAGATGAAGTACCGCGCTTAGGCTTTTAACATAATGGGAGAAATATTATCATTAACATAACTATTCTTTAGTAGGAGAGCTCCTATTTCATCACCAGATTTGGGCAGGAGAATATGTAAGTGTGTGTGTGTGTGTAGATCTTATTAAAATGTTCATTATTGGAGTGTTTGGAGAGCAAACACATGGGCAGACAAATGGAGGGCACATGTAAGATCATACCACCTCTCTCTCTCCTGTCCTTCTCTTTCTCTCTCTCTGTCTCAGCCCAAATAAACAACAGGTCTCTGTATGAAGTGGAGTCTAATAAATGAAACCAAATAGTGAGAAAATAAACTTGAAAAACAATAAAATGTTGGAAAACTGGGCTTAAAATGTGACCGTGGGGAGTGCTGGAGAGGCTGTCGTGGTGATTGGGTTACTGTGGACTCATTTCCCTGTGTGACTTTTAGGATTTTTATAAATGCTTTGGAAGCAGATTAATAACAGGGTTTTAGTTGATGATGCTGGCTCTGCTCTTGGTGCTTGAAACATTTTGTCTAAGTGTATCCAACCTCTACGCTTCATCCTTCAACATCCAGAAAACCCTGCCTCATGCTCTTAAGAGGCTGTGATGTGACATTCTGTTGGCTGCTATTCCTGGGATCCTCACACACAAACACACATTAATTCATATTCTAACAAGGTGACCAAGAAGAGAGAGAAAAAAATGTGTTTTTAATTGTACAAACACGTCACAGGGCTGATGACATTCAGACCTCTGCTCGGATTAACCTGAACACTCTGTATCACCCCCAGCCTCCCTACTTCCATTAGCAGAGCTCTGCAGCTGCTCTCCAGGTCTCGTCTCTCCTCCAGACAGCTGCTGTTTAGTCATTTCTCCTCCTGTTCAACCCTGATGGAGTTTTGTTGTGGGCTCAGTCGGGGACAGATAACTGTTACGCCTCCGCTCAGTTTGGCTCGGCTCATCTCAGTTTCAGCTCCCGCTCAGGGATCCTCACATGGACGAACCCAGCCCACTCCTCTGTCTGCTACACAACATCTATCTTCTTTCTGAACTCCATTAGCTCCAAGGTTAAGTTTTAATACTAATACCGTTCATACTGTGGGTTATAAATTTCTATCGAGCACTGCATCACAGCATCACAGGATGTCCAGTCAACCTCAATGACACAGCGATGCCTCCAGGCCAAAAACACCATGAAGACATGTGCAGAGACACAAAAAGACTGATGTAGAAAATAGGAATGGACGTTTCATTTCAATATTAACATGTAGTCTACTGCATACACTACCATATACTATATGTGTCCAAGCATTTCTCATTTCTCATTTGGTGAGGGTTATACAGTAATGGCAGCTCACTGTCTGCAGATGCTGAACTTTGTCAGTTGCTCCTAATGTCTTTCATCAGAGACCCTCAGACACACAGCATCTGGTTTATGCCATTGAGAGGTCAGTAAGCCTCCTGGAGTGAGAGTGGGTGTTTTGCTCCTTGTAGCCCCATTTTATCCCTGCTTCTGGAGTTATGTGATTACAGTCTCCTGGTGGAGTGGTTCCGTTGTGGGGGAAAGGTTGAACGGGGTGACAGTGGCCATTTAGAGCTGGAGACATTAGAACAAACTTAAATCTTTCTCAGATTGTAGTGGGCGATACCTTGCTGCTTCTAGTTTTGTGTGTTTGAGATAATACAATATTTTTGTTTATTGCTCCTGTCTCCCTACAAGCATGATGATATTTCCAGGAGAGCTGGGCTGATATATTGACTAATGTTGGTTTATCACAGCTATATTGGCATCTACATGTCAGCCAATATGTAACAAAAATTCAGATATGTAGGATATAGGTTGTTCCTCAAAGAACACTTTTACAGTTTTATTTTCCCATTGTCCTACTCAGCACATTATCTTGGTCACAATTTTAAAGCTGTCATATATAGTTATCATTATCAGTTAATCCGTGGATCAGGTGGGCTGGGTCATAAAAATTAACATATTCATTAACGGCAGATGGTCTGCCGGTCGGAGGAAAATATT